GCCTGCGCCGGGGCGGCGGCGGCGGCGGCGGCGGCGGGGGTGCCCGGCGTGGAGGAGCGGGTCCGTAGCGGGCCGCCGGACCCAAGGCGGAGGAGGGCGTTTGGGAGCGCCTTCGCCCGGGCCTCGGCGGCCTGATGGAGTAAGAGGGTCGGCAGCTAGGGTGAGTACCCAGGGCCGGGCGGTGCTGAGGCGCACGGGGGCGCGGGAGGCCGGGGGTTTGCCCCTCCGGGAGGTGGGGGCTGCAGGTCGCGGCCGGGTCTGTGCCGGGGGCGTCCCAGGCTCGCTCCCCGCCCCAGCAGGAAATGTGGCTGCAGATCCCTGACCTTTGGGGAAGGCCTCCGACCTCCTTAGCCTCCGGTGCCGCAGGGAGTCCCTACGCCCAGGTGCTCATCGGCCTCCGGGACTTTGGGCCAGGGACACCTTTCGACCTCTTGGGAGTGGCAGCATCTGGGGTGTGTGTGTGTGTGTGTTTTGTTGTTTTTTTTAATTCCTTCCGTTTTCTCCCCCAGTGGCATGCGTTTTAATAATAGAATCATGGAGCGCTTACTATGTGTCAATTTAATATTTGAGTCCAAATCTCGGTGCATAATTATGGAGAGAAAATGCTTTGCATCCCACTCCCTTCGATCGGCTCCATTTAATCATCTTGAGAGTCAGAATCATGTTGTGAGAGTCGGAGATTAAGTCATCTTGGGGCGTTTGAGATTTCCATGGCTCTTAGCTGGGGACTGCCATTCGAGTTCAGGGCAAGTTTTTCTCGTACCTAGCAAATGAATGCTTTATTCACCATAATGGTTTATATCGCACTAACTCAAGCCAAAACAACTTTTCAGCACTTAATAAGAGCCTAGTATGTCTTGTTCTAAATTCCATGGTAAATCTTAAAATTTGTTTTAAACCCTGTTTTCAAGTTTTGGTAGTGAATGAAATAATGGAAGACAATTATTTACATTCAACTAGGATTTACTAGTCCTTAGCACCTACTACACTCAGATACACTCAGGTCTGTCACAAAAAATGAGATATTGTAACCTTGTGGGTTTTGTTTTTTTTTGTTTTTTTTTTTGGAGCACATTTTAGATGACGGCTGAGAGTTTGATGGTAATTCGCTCAAGCTAATTTAACTAGTGTTAAGTGGTGATATTCACATACAGTGCCTAAGCTTATCTATTTTTTTTCTGTTACTCCAAGTTAGATATATAAAGTACTACTGCTGAGAAGCAACTACATTACAGTTATAGTTTCTGGAGTTAACTATAGGAGTCTAGAAAATGGTCAGAGTTTTTAATTAAGGATACTGGATGGTTTTTTAAAAAGAACTTCAAAATGGCTTGGAAATTGGTAGAGGTATGAAGGAGTCTGATTAGGTTAGTTCAGAACCAATTATTCTGATCAAAAGAAAGATTTAAAGAGGAAGACTGAGTGGCAATTACTGTATATTTAGGTTAGAACACATGTAGTTTGAAGGCTACTATATAAGAAGAGAAGCAAGGAATAATGGCAGCAGATGTTAGCTGTTGTGGTTCTGGGACAAGGAGTGGCTCAGTGAGAAAAACACATATTTTGTCATTTGTAATTATGGTATCTAAGTGGGAACTTTGGGATTAATTTGTGTACTCAGTGAATAAGAGCACCTAGGCAGACAAATTACATATGAATACTCCCATTGCACATCCACTATGCTAAATTTCTAATTGAAACCTTAGAGTCCATTAGATTTCTGTCTTAATTTTTAATCTGAAAGAGATTATAAAAAAGTGAGAGTTCCTAAGTAATGAACCAATAGTGGACTATATAAATTATGCATATGTTAGAATGAGCCAGGGTTCCCATCAAGATGCCATACTTGAATCCTCCAACAACCACATCAAAATTACAACTAAACAATAGGACAACTATCATTCAGAGCCACCTGAAATCCAGCTGAACACAAGTCCTACAGTTAGGGATATAAAGAAGAAGCCACATGGAGACTGATAGGAGGGGCGGAGGTGCAGAACTGGCCAGTCCCATACCCATGTGTGGCAGATAAAAATCAGGAGGGATACCTGGGCTGCAGAAGTTCCCCTTGAGGAGTGAGGGTTCCCAGCCCCACACGAGGCCCCTCAGCCCAGGGTTCCCGTGCCAGGAAGAGAAGCCCCCATAAGTTCTGGCTGTAAAAACCAGCAGGGATTGTGACTGAGTGAGATGGAGGGTGGCTGGAGACTCGGGGGTTTCTCTTAAAGGCCCCATACAGTCTTAGACTCACTTGTTCTAAGTTCCGGTGCTGGGACAGTAGCTCTAAAGGCACCAGGGAGGAACTGAAGTGTCTGGGATCAGGGCAAGAGCTGGAGGGGCTGGTTTCTTTCAGAAGTATTGGCAGAGGCTATTCCGTTTCTGAGCCCTCCTTCACAGAGCCTGCTGGCTGGCACCATATCTGAGTCTCCATCAACCTGGCTTACATAGTGATGGTTCCCTGAGACCCCACCTCACCCAACTCATGGGCCTAACCCACATAATTCTCCTGGCTTTTCCATACAAACTTGGTTCATGCTTCATACTTTTCTAAAATCTCTCAAACAGGTAGCATCTGGCCCTCTACCTCTCACTAAGTGGCCTCAGGCATGGCAGTAGTGGTAGCCAGCCTTGGTGCACAGCTTGGCTTCTCTTGAGCATCTCCAAGCCCACTAGAAGTTGCGGCCATCTGCAGATCACTTTATAGCTCATGCTGGGTGGCCCCAGGCAGAGCACAGGTGGTGGCTGATCTTGGCCTGTGCCTCCCAGGAGGTCTCAGAGTCAGTGCACCCGGACAGCTTCAGACCATGTGGAAGCACCACTTCTACAAGGACACACTCAGGGGGTGGACTCAGTAGGCACCAGAGCCCTGCTGAAGTAAGTCTAGTTCTGTGGGGTCGCCCTGCACAGCAGATCCTCCACATTGGTTGTAGTCAGTCTTCGCAGCTCATCAAACTCAACTACAACAGGAGGGTATACACAGCCCACATAATGCGGAAAATGGTCTTTGACCATAATGGGATCAATGTAGATGTCTTAAAAACCTCACAAATAGTTGGCGATTCAGTGAAACTTTTAAAGTTATGAGTCAAAGAAGAAATATCAGGAGAAATTAAGTATTTTGAACTGGATGATAAAAATACATCATAATTTGTGGGATAACTTATAGCCAAGAGGAGCCTAAGGGGACATAATGACTAAATGTAGCTGTCCCCTGGTTCAGATGCTGGAGAAAAAGGATACTGTGTAAAAAATGAGGGAATAAAGTATAGGCTTAAATTAATAATTATGTGTCAATATTGGTTTATTAATTGTGACAAATTGTACTAATGTAAGATGTAAATAATATGGGAAACGGGGGCAGGGGGACAAAAGTAACTTTCAGAGACTGAATACCCAAAATATTAATGGGTATATGGGTACTCTGTTAACTTTTTCAACTTTTCTGTAAATCTAAAACTATTCTAAAATAAATAGTTTCTTTAAAAGTGCTAAAAAAAATTTTGTGCAATACAGCTGTTACAGTGTTTAAAGAGAAATTTGTAGCCTAAATACCTATTTTAGAAAAGTCGAAGACAGTGACCTAAAGTTTTATCTTAAGAAGCTAGTAAATGAAGAGCAAAATAAACCCAAAGTAGATGGAAGGGAAGATATAATAAAGATGACAGAAGAAATTAATGAAATAGAAAAATACAAAAATAAAATAATAAAGCCAGAAGTTGGTTCTTTGAAAAGATCAACAATATTGATACACCTGTAGGTAGACTGATAGTGAAAAACAGAGAACACAACTTGCTAGTATCAGGAATGAAAGGGATTTATCACTACAGATGCTATAGGACAAGGGTGGGCAACCCCTGGCACGCATGCCAAACATGGCACGCCAGTAACTTTTGCTGGCACACGAAACCCTCTCTTATTTTCCATTTACAATTTTTTTCTTAATATCAACTTTTTTATTTTTTAGGTAAATTCAGTGTAGGTGCATCTTAGATAAATAAATAATTTTACATAACAAGTTATCTTAAAGACCATCGACATGTATTGACGAGAGAGGGGAAGAGCAATTTCAATAGTGTTGAAAACGAACTTTGAGGACTATTGGGCTTAGGACTTAATCTGTTACATGATTATAACTTTTTTAAAAATATATATATTTTATTGATTTCAGAGAGGGAGGGAGAGGGAGAGAGAGATAGAAACATCAGTGATGAGAGAGAATCATTGATTGGCTGCCTCCTGCTCAACCCTTATGGGGATCAAGCCCACAACCTGGGTATGTGCCCTTGACCAGAATCGAACCTGGGACCCTTCAGGCTGACACTCTATCCATTGAGCCAAACCAGCTAGGGCTATAATGATAACTTTTGCTAATATATATATTTTTAAATATATTTTATTGATTTTCATAGGGAGGAAGGGAGAGGGATAGAGAGTTAGAAACATCGATGAGAGAGAAACATTGATCAGCTGTCTGCTGCACACCCACTATTGGGGATGTGCCCGCAACCAAGGCACATGCCCTTGACCGGAATTGAACCTGGCACCCTTCATTCTGCAGCCGGATGCTCTATCCACAGAGCCAAACCAGTTAGGGCAATTTTAATTATTTTGTTAGGATTGGTGTTATTCCAGTTTTTGTTGTTGTTATTTTTCCCTTTAGGATATAATACTTTCCAAGTTTCAGAATTAAGTAAGGAATTGGAACCTTAGTAGTTCTAATTCTGAATTATGGTCTGCCCTGTCCATTTCCTTGCCTGGTGACGGGCAATACGAACAGCTTCAACTTGGGGCTTAACTTCTAATGCCTTTTCCCGAGTCACAGCTTTAACTTCCTATCTTTGTTTTAGCCCTATGCTTACTAATAAAGAGTGGTTGCTGCATATACTCCTGCTAAATGTGGTTTAGGGCAGATAATATAAAAAGTAATGCTAGTGAATAAAATGCTTATGAATGCAGGAAACCACCAATCACTTGCTTTGGGAAACAGGAGCCAGCCAGGATTTAGACCTAGCACTAGGACTCATCCAGAATAAGCCTTTGAAAGTTGCAGTTATATGTTGATGTGCCCTGAAATACTTCCTGACCTCTTTGTCAACTTAGCTAAGAGCTTTGAAACTTTCTTGGAGGCCCATTCAGCAAATTGAGGACTACCCAGAAATGCCA